GTGATAAAAATACCTCCAGGGATAAAAAATTGTCATCAAGTAAATACAGATATGGGTGGTTTTCTGAGAACAACCAATGAAATACAAAGATTAGACTTAAATTTATAGTAGCTATGTCTTCACTGTTATGTAAGAGGCATTTTTCGTGTGGCAAAGCATGGATACCTAATTGAATAGAAAGACTGAATTTCTAGTTGTCTCCAAATTCCTTCTATGCACATCAGGATTTTAAATTTTCTAACAAAATTCGTTAAATTTAAATCCTTGGAAGTAGGTTATGGATCAGTCCTGGGCTCATCATAGGGCATTACAAATTGAAGTCTTTCACTAGTAAACAAGGCAAGAGGAAGCCCAAGAAGTAAACAGTGAAAATAACTATATTTCTTGGGAGAGCAGCAATTATTGGAGTTAGCAATATGAAATGCATAAATGTATGGTTTATCTCGCTATACATTTTCTCTGCTCTCAAAATAATACCATGTGCAACCTAAGAGAGGCTTATTCTTAAGACTTGCTTATTTTCATCAGTGAATGATTTTACAGAGTGAAATATCAAGAAGCATTTTAAGATTGCATTCACTTGGTATGTTGCTTCTGATATACAAAATATATCATTTCTAAAAGTCAAGGTTTTTTTATGTAATAGACTGGGTTCTCTAGTAGAGTGAACTTTTCATGAAAGCTGTGGATATAATTGAGTTTTTTTTTTCATGTCTTTAAAGCTTTTTAAAATTCATGAATTTTCTTATCATTTTTGCAGCAAAGCAAAAGTATTTCCAAGTCCTTTTTGAATTTTGTGTTTAATATTAACATATTTTAAATGTTACAGAAATAGATGGAGTGCAGCAAATCTTACATAAGAAAGTATTTGATTTTTGATGCATTTTAATGTTACAAGTAGGTCAGATATTCCTATTAAATAGGTTCCATTACCTGTCACAGAGCTGTCTAGATTGTCCATACTGGATCCGGGTGTCTGGTCTAGTGCTCTCAGGGGCCTGGGGATTTCTAAAACTTCCTCTTCATCATCAGCATCATCATCTGGAACATCTGTTTCCAAATCAGAAATCAAGGCTCCAGACACGTAACCTAATGGTGGAACCGGGGGCTGTGGAGGTGGATTATTGCTTTGAATGTGCCTAGAATTCAAATGGGAAAAAAGAAGAAAAGAAAAGCAATTTATTAACATTGAGCAAAATTGTAATTATAATTAGATGGCATGCTATAGAAACTAATATTGTCTTCTTCCTTTCCACTAACTAATTTTGAAGCTTATAGTGCTTTCTTACACTTCAGCAAAAATGGTGGACTGTGGATATGTGTCTCACCAAACAATAACGTAGACTATTAAACTCTTCTATTGGTATGTACTGGGTGAAACACAGAAAAAAAAGATACAGACCCAGTATTTTTGTATACATAAGTCATCCAAACTGTGATATGTAGCAAAGAATTTAACCTTGACCCCAGAGAGTTTTGGTCTTTGCCCTCCACACCTGGGAGGTAATCTGTAAGCCCTTAGAATGTCCTGTCTGATAAAAGTGTCTCTGTTTACTTGGAGGTCTTAAGCTACTCCAGAAAGTCTAACAATATGATTTATGGTGGGGCTTTGAGTCACACAGTATCAGCTCTACCTCTGGAGAAGCTGGGGACAGGTCAGCCATGTGTGTAGTCATGTCTAGTGACAGAGCCCGAATAAAGTCTCTGGACCTCAGGGCTTGTGTGCTCTTCCCTGGTGGGCAATACTCCATTTGTATTGTCACAGTCTTTGGTGGGAAAGTAATGCTGTCCTTTACTCCATTGTGAGAAGACAACTGGAAGATCTGCTTTTGGAATATTCCCAGACTCTGCCCCACGCATTCCTTCTATTGGCTGGTTTTCATCTGTATTTTTTCACTGTAATAAACTGTAACTTTGAATATGAAAGCTTTCAGTGGGTTCTATGACTTTGAGTGAATTCTTGAACCTTAGGGTGGTCTTGGGGAAACAGGTAAACTTGTACTTGATGTCAGAATGAGAGTGGTCTTGAGGACAGCCCTTTAATGTCATATATGAGTTAATTACTGTTATCAACACCATTTTACATACAGGAAACTATAACATGTAAATTTAAGCAAATTGCCCAGGGTCATACAGCTAGTAGGACAGGTTCACCTCTATGGCACCTCCTCTTTGGCTGTCCCCGGTCAAAATCCCAGACCAAGCATCAGAATCTGTCTGGGGGTGGTATCAACATAGTTTAAGGTTATTTGGGTAATTCCAAAATGCAGGCAAATTTGAGAACTCTTGAGCTAGTGTCTGTGCTTTAAGTGGCTAAACTGCACAGCTTCATTAGTTAACTTAAAAGAAATCCTATGGCTCTTTAAGCAGCTGGCTTCAACTTAGTAGTGATGTTCTACGAAAAGCAGCATAATACAAAAAGTACCATTTAACTATAGGTTGTCTTTGACCTTTGAGAAAATATCTGATGATTGGGAAAATGTT